AAGCAGTGAATGGGAGCATTCTTGCCTTCTCCCTGTCTCTCATTCTCTACCTCACAAACAGAACTTCCTTTTATTTTTTAAACATTCTAATTTTGCTTTTTAATATTTTAATTTATTAATTTATAGGGAACATATTTCATTAATTTCATAGATATGATTCCAAGAATACAATTACAATTTCCTCCCTCCCTCTTTTTTTTTTCTTTTTTGTTTCAAAACTCAGCATGAGAAGGGTCTGTGGTTAGACCTGTACATAACAAGAGTTCCGAGTGTTTCTGAGTGCTATCACGTCTTCCCTCCTGCTCACTGTGTGGCTCTCCACCCCAGCTGCCTATCAGATTCACCTCATTTCAGCTAATCTCTACCAGGCAACTAATTCACATGGCAGGTTAAGAATTGTCTCTTAAATAAAACTTGAGGCTCCAAATGCATCTAGATTTAACCCTGAGATTTTGCTCCAGTAGAAGCCATGAACTCAGAGGATCGCCTGCTTTTTGTGATCAAAAAATGTATACTGGAGGTCTACAAGCTTGACCAGCACATAACTGAAGTACTATTGAATCAGTAAACATTTTCGAATCAATTAGATTAGAATCTACAATGCTGGGGGTGAAAAGTGCACTAAAGCCCTCATTTTACAGATGGGCAACCTGAGGCCCAAGAGAGTGTGGGATTTCATTAAGATCACACTCTGGTGATTAAACTGAAAAGAGAATCCCCTGGGATTTCTGGTATCTAATCCAGTACTTTTTCTATAGAACAAGCTGATTTTTGTTTGACTATTTATTATTACTGATTCCAAGAAATGCCTTACAATTAATAATTATATTTCTCAACATTTAGCCCTTTATTGCCCTCCCCCAGACCTTGGGCCTCCAGAATCAACCAACCAACCTCTCTCTCTTTCTCTCTCTCTCTCGCTGCCCCCTAGTCAGATTTAGCTGAATGAGGGAACAACTTAAGGTCAGACTGTACACAACTCTGGAGGACAAAGATTGTACCCAACTAAATCCAAGCCAAAACTCTCTCACCTTCAGGGACTAAAATGCCCAGTTTAAGAAAAGAAAACTTTGCAGACGGGAAAAATAGGGAGATAATTTGAGAGGGAAAAACATCCTGGCCTCCTATGTGTATATGATTAGATCATGTCTACCTGCTCCCATTTCTTCCACCCCCATACCACCCTTTCCTCCTCTGCTTCTAATGTTCTAGCAAAAAAGACCACCCATGAGAGCCCCAGAGGCTCAACTATATGTGTGGAACCAGGTAGATGACATGCAGGAATAGATCTAGAATGTAAGATTTATAACCAGCAGGATAATATTTCATTGCAGCAAGGGGAGAGAAGAGATCCTAAAAATATCATGGAGAGCATATTATAATATTTTAATGGGATTTATGTGCTCCCCATATGCACTTCCCCCTGTAAGATGGATTGTAAGTTTTGACAAATCTATATTTAACATGGGAGAATAATATACAATGTATGCTACCTGGTAGAGAAATTCATATTTCTGAAAATCCTGATTCCAGTAATTATAATAGACATTTAAAGACAGTGCTTATTGTGGGCTGTGAATGGGTCCGATGTCCTCATTAGGAGGAAAGAGAAAGTAGTGCAGGTAGTAGAGGATAAATAGCTGCTATGAAAGACAGCTACCCAAGACAAAAGAGCAGGATGCCCAGGGTGACCCAACAGTCATCTAGGTGTGGGCCCAGCTCCTCCTCATCCCCTGAACAGGTCATGTGACCCTCTCATCAAGCATTCATTAAATATTTATTAAGCATCCACCATGTCCCTGCATTCCTGCCAGCTTTGGGAGTTTACTTTGATCTAAGTGGGCACAGATATCCAAGAAAATTATTTCAGACAATTACGATTAAAGTATGAGAAGTAAGACAGGGTGATTTAACAGAGACTCCCAGGGGATGAAGGGAAGGAAGCTGGGGTCATTGTTTAGAAAAGGCAATGAAGGAAGGCCTACTTAAGAAGGTGAGACTTCAGCTCAGACGTAACTGCTAAAAAGGCATGGTCTTTGCAAAGATGTAAGAGCAGAGAATTGTGGGCAGGAAGGGATCAGCCAGTGCAATCTCCCAGGCAGAATGAGCTCACAGTCTTGAGACACAGGGAAGGGCAGCAAGGCCAGAGCCGGGAGCAAGAAGAGTATGTAAGGTGGCTTAGTTCAGTGGAACAAGCCATTCACTTCTGTGTCAGGGTCAGGTTATACTTTTCCTGTGAAAATAAGACTGCTTTCTAGAGGTTTTGTATGAGGAAGGGAAATAATGTGTTTTTGTTTGCTCTTTTTTTGTTCCTTTGATTCCTTTGGCTTCTGCATAGAATTGCTTTTGTCACTGAAAACCAAATCCATAAAACTCAAGGCCATGAGTCCTACCTTTAGATGCCAGGAAGGCTGTGGCACAAACGAAGAGCAGGTATTCCATGACGTTCTGGTTCAAAGAGCAGTCTCCCAGTGGACCAGGCACTTCAAGTACTGAGCATCCTGTAACTGGAAGTACACAAGCAGATGTTAATGATCACCTTGTATATTTCCAAAAATGGTATGTTCATTTTTAGGCGGAACTTGACAGGTGACTTGGGTAATCCAGTTACAATCTTTAAGAGACAATGTTCTGCTGGTGCCACAGCTCACTAGGTTAATCCTCCACCTGTGGCTCCGGTACTCCGGGTTCTAGTCCTGGTTGGGGCATCGGTCCTGTCCCGGTTGCTCCTCTTCCAGTCCAGCTCTCAGCTGTGGCCCGGGAAGGCAGTGAAGGATGGCCCAAGTGCTTGGGCTGTGCACCTGCATGGCAGACCAAGAGGAGGCACCTGGCTCCTGGCTTCAAATCAGCACAGTGCCAGCCGTAGTGGCCATTTGGGGGGTGAACCAACAGAAGGAAGACTTTTCTTTCTGTCTCTCTCTCTCTCACTGTCTAACTCCGCCTGACCCAAAAAAAAAAAAATATATATATATATATATAAAAAGAGACAATGTTCTTTCAAGCCCTGTCTCTAGGAAAGGAAAGAACAGAGACTCATGGAACACAATTGGGCACCACTGATATTGTATTCTTTAGTGCAGCATGGCCCAAAGGATCTTCAAATATTAACAATACCCACCAAAAAAGGGTCATGAGAGCAAAAAGATTTGACAAAATCTGAGACAAAATCCAACAGGATGCTTCATAATCTTTTATAGAGCTGGTGTGCAGTATGAAACTATAAGTTGAAGACATGGTGTACAATATTTCACAAGTGTTTTTGATCAACCAAAAAAAAGGCATTTTCTTTCTCTATTTTTATTTAATTTTATTTTAAAATGTTTCAAATAAAACAGAATAGAGTTCAATGAGCACACATAGATTTAACTATATTTAACATAATCATTTCATATGTAAATATTGTAGACATATGCAAACTATTTTTCTTAATAGTAGGAAGATTGATCCCACATAATGTGACCTTCATGAAAAGATTTATAAAGTGAGGAAGCAAGGGTGCATTATTATTTAAGGGGTTTTTTTTTTTGACAGGCAGAGTGGACAGTGAGAGAGAGAGACAGAGAGAAAGGTCTTCCTTTGCCGTTGGTTCACCCTCCAATGGCCGGCGCACCGCACTGATCTGAAGCCAGGCGCCAGGAGCTTCTCCTGGTGTTATTCAGTGAAGACAATGTTTATAATATCTAAACAGTGAAAATGGGGGCTCTACACATTTTTAAGCTATGTATAAATATTAACTTCCATATATAAGAGAAAACATGTGAAACAGTGCCTTCTGGGTCTGGAAGAAGCCTTTTCTTGTTTAAAGAGCGGCTCACAGGACTGATGTGTAATGGGACTTATCTGAGCAATGCTCACATTACACAATCTGAGAAACCATATAGCAAGGAAATGTGGAGTCATGGTATTAAGTGGTGTGATAAAGAGAGCAGAGGACTAAAGAGAATTAACTTTTTAATCTTAGAAGAAAAAAACTAATAATACCTAAATCACAAGGTTGTGATGAGGACCAAATAGCCTCACAGATGTAAAAGGACTGTACAGCACTCTGGAATACTGACTTTGAGGAAGATAACTGATCCTCTCATTTCATTTGAAAGTGATTGAGATAGCCTGAGGGTTAATCTCCTGAATAGACAAAGACTGTGAACTCTCATTTGAAAATGAAGTTTAGGAGCTAATTGACTTAGAGTTTGATCCTATGACCTTGGATTTATTAGCACTATATTCTAACCAACAGTATAATCAACCATAAACCAGAACTGGGAATCACACTTGGACACTACAAAATGGATCCTGGGGGAATGTTCATACAACTACACTTTATCTATGGCTGATACATTGGGGGGGGGCATAAAAAATCAGTGAGCAAAATGTACAAACAGAATGAACATCAGCAGAGAAATGTACACTGAGAGCTGAGGGCTAGCTGGGAAAACCAACACCTGTCTTCTTAAACATGTCTCAGCAGTAACAGTAGGCAGGAATCTTTCTTCTTGTAGCATTTTTGTACTCCTTGAAGTAATAGAAAATGTAATGGAAAAATCACTAGATTAAAAGTCAAGATACCTGCCCCAGTCAAATATATCCAAGCTGTGCAACCTTGAACGTGTCCATTAATCTCATAAGCCTTGGATTTTCTCATTTAAAAAATTATCCAGTCATCTTTTTCTTATCTTTACAGAATCAATGTAGAGACAAAGTGAGACAATATACGGAAATGTTTTGTATACATGGCTACCATAATACCCTTGACAACAGATGGATAGGAAGTGGATGGATAGGACAGATGGACTGGATAGATGGGAAAGATAAAAAGAATGGATGTGTACCTGGATGAAAAGATGGCTAGTTTGGTTGCTTAGATAGATAGATGGCTAAATGATGGATGGATGGATGTGTGATGGGTTGGATGAAAAAACTAGTGAATTAATTTGTTTTGGAACAATCTGATAGCTTATTCACAGCATCTTCTATCCAGTAATCTTTCTCTTCTCTTCTAGTCTGTTCTCAGTTCTCCAAAGGAGTCTATGCCATCTTTGGGTTTTATGAACGGAGGACTGTCAACATGCTGACCTCCTTCTGTGGGGCCCTTCACGTCTGCTTCATTACGCCCAGCTTTCCTGTTGACACATCCAATCAGTTTGTCCTTCAGCTGCGCCCTGAACTGCAGGATGCCCTCATCAGCATCATTGACCATTACAAGTGGCAGAAATTTGTCTACATTTATGATGCGGACCGGGGTAAGCCAAGGGTTACAACAGAGACTGTTGATGGATGAAGAGAAAACTGCCAACAGGAAGTATGATGTCTTACTGCCTTGCTGAAAAGCACAAGGAAATGATTTTTAAAATTATTTATTTCTGTGAACTAATTTCTTGGTAGCTAATCCCTAATTCACAGTATGAAAACACACCCTTTGAGAGAGTAATCCTCTTAATGCACCATGTCACTCTTTAGCTCACCAAGCTTCCATGACTCCAGAGTCTAGACTCAATATCCAAATCTCAGATGAATAGCTCCCTGCTCACAGCATGGTTATTAAGACTATAGTCTCTCTCTTCCTCTTTCTCTCTCCCTCCCTCCCTCTAAAATAAATAAAAATTTGAAGAAAGGGGTGAGCAGGCATTTGGCCTAGCAGTTAAGATACCTATTTCCCATATCAGATTGCCTAGGTTCAATCCCTGCCTTTGATCTTCATTCCAGCTTCCTACTAATGCAAACCTGAGTGGCAGCCATGATGATTCAAGTAGTTCCCTCCCTGCCACCTCTGAGGGAAACCTGGATTGAGTTTGCATCCTCCATGTTCAGCCCAGCCCCAAACCAACCATTGTTGGCATTTGGAAACTGAAACCGTGAATAAGATGTCTGTCTTTCCCTCTCCTTCTCTCTCAAATAAATTAATAATAGACTTGAGTCAAAATTCTAGGTACCGTTCTCTCCAGCTGTTTGACTTTGGGCACACTCTATCTTTTTAATTTTTTTTTAATTATTTCATTTATTTATTTGAGAAGTAGAGTTACAGACAGAGAGTGAGTCAGAGAAGTCTCCCATCCCCTGGTTCACTTCCCAGATGGCCACGATGGCTGGAGCTGAGCCAGTCCAAACTCAGGAGCCAGGAGCTACTTCTGGGTCTCCCAAGTGGGTGCTGGGGCCCAAAGACTTGGGCCATCTTTCACAGCTTTCTCAGGCCATAAGCAGAGAGCTGGATTGGAAGAAGAGCAGCTGGGACAGGAAATGATGCCATATAGAATGCTGGTGCCACAGGTGGAGGCTTAGCCTACCACATCACAGTACCAGCCATGGGCACACGCTCAATACTTGTGTTTCACCATTTATGTAACAGAGATATTCTTTAATTTAAAATAACCTCTATCTCATTTAGGTCCCATGAAGATTAAATGACACAGTTGGTAAAAGGGGCTTGTTCACTGCCTGCAGTATAGTAAATGCTTAATATCCTTCATTTTTGTTCACTGGTTTCATACTCACCACCACCACCACCACCACCACCACCACCACCACCACCAGCATACTTCCTCTCAGTGCTTTCTGCCTCTTGAATTTTACATCATATTTTCCAAATGTCTCCTAATTTTTCTTCTCTCTATTTTTATTCATGCCATCCCCATTTTCTGGAATTCATTTACCTTCTCAAATCTATGTATGTAAATTCTTCCTCTCTTTCGCAATCTGTTCAAATACCACTCTATTTCCTACTCCTCTGGATGGAAATTCTTTTCCTTTCTCTAACCTCTATGGTGGTTGTCTCGTACTATCACACTCTCTCATTGTATACCAAAGAGTCCTGGAAGAATTTGGTCATTATTAGTGGAAATAAATAAATAAATGAGTCATGCAACCCCTGTATTCTCACTGACATAGTTGCTTGTAGGGACTCTTGGAAGATTTTGAGGAGAAGGTTAGCGTGTGGAAATGACTTTTCAGGCAGAATTAGGAAAGCATTACTCAGGTGGAAAGGAGTTGGCAGAGGAAGAAACTAGAAGTCGCCCTGTTTTCTTTGATTCTTGCCTTCTAATCCCTATTTTGATGATTTCCCTTCTCTGACAGCAGCCAGTAAGGGATCACTTGGAGAAGGTTTATTATAGGACACCTTTCTAGTCTAATATACAATGAAAGCTAGAAGTCGCACTGTCAGAAAAATCCAACTTTGTTTATGAAAGATCACCTCTGGGGTGACCACATTCTCCAAAGGGGTCCATCCAGCTGAGAACTCAACTCCCAGAACTCTGCCATTTGCTTTGTGTATGACCTTGGATCAATAACTAAATCTCTTGCAATCATCATTTCCACACCTGTAAAATAAGGATAATAATAGTACTTGCCTTCCTGAAAATGAATAAAGAGAGAAAACATCAACATCATAGATCCAATCTGTAGGTGATTCTTGAGATACTGTGTTATTCTCCATAGAGGGATTAGTAGAAGTGTTACTGGGCCTTCAAAATGATTTACCTACCAAAGAATGGTTAATAGTGCAAAAATGCAGTCAGTGCTGTGGTGTAGTGTGTTAATCCACTGCTCCGATGCTGGCATCCCATACTGGAGTGGCAATTCAAGTCCGAATAACTCTCACTCTCTCTTTCAAATAAATAAATAAATATTTAAAACGAAATAAGGATTTGTGATAGACAGCATGATAACCTTACTATCATTCCCAAAGATGCTCATGTCCTAATCCCTGGAACCTACAAATATGCTTATGTCATATGGCTGAGGGTAACTGAGATTACAGACAAAAAAATTGAGGTTGCTAATTCACTGGCCTTAAACAGTGAGATTATACTAGATTATTCAGATGGCTATAATACAATCATTAAGGTCCTTATACATGCAAGTTGGAGACAAGAAGAGTCAGTGTCAGAGTGGTACAATGTAAAAAAACCTCTCAGCCAGCATTGCTAGCTTTGAAAAGGGAAGGGACCACCATCTAAGGAATGCAGGAAGCATTGAGAAGCCGGAAAAGAAAGAAAATGGATTTTTTCCTCTGATTTTAATCCAGGGAGACCTATATCAAATTAGTAGTGCTGCTGGGACTCAGGAATGTTAAGATGGACTCCAGAAGTAGAAGATGATAATTTTGTGTTGTTGTAAGCCACTAAATGGGTAGTCATTCATTACAATAGCAATAGGAGGGGACCAGCACTGTGGCGCAGTGGGTTAAATAAGCACCTAATAAGCCAGCATCCCGTATTGGCACCAGTTTGAGTTCCAGCTACTCCACTTCCAATCCAGCTCCCTACTGATGTTCCTGAGATAACAGTAGAAGATGGCCCAAGTATTTGGGTGCTGTCACCCACATGGACAATCTGGATAGAGTTCCAGGCTCCTATCTTTGGCCCAGTCCAGCCATGTCCACTGTGGCTACTTGGGGAGTGAACCAGGAGATGGAAGCTGAGTGTGTGTGTGTGTGTGTGTGCCTCCCTCTGTTCCTATAGTTCTGTCTTTCAAATGAATAAATAAATCTTATTTTAAAAAACAACAGCAGGCCGGTGCCACGGCTCAATAGACTAATCCTCCGCCTGCGGCGCCAGCACACCAGGTTCTAGTCCTGGTCGGGGCACCAGATTCTGCCCCAGTTGCTCCTCTTCCAGTCCAGCTCTCTGCTGTGGCCCGGGAGTGCAGTGGATGATGGCCCAAGTCCTTAGGCCCTGCACCTGCATGGGAGACCAGGAGAAGCACCTGGCTTCTGGCTTCAGACTGGTGTAGCGCGCTGGCCGCAGAGACCATTAGGGGGTGAACCAACGGAAATGGAAGACCTTTCTCTCTGTCTCTCTCACTGTCCACTCTGCCTGTCAAAAAACAAAACAAAACAAAAAAAAAAACAGCAAACAGCAATAGGAGGCTAACCTACAACCTAAGTCTCAAAGATAAAACATGATGCAGTACCGAGTAATGAGCTTCTCTACATATTTAGTTACAGAGCAGAGGAGAGTGGTTTAATTCAGTACATATTTATTGAACACTTCATGTGTGAGAGATAATTCATTTGGCATTGAGGATATATTGAACATACACAAATTTGATAGTTATTAGATGGCTATTTAGAAGTCAGGCTGATATATTTAGTAGGAAATTACTGAATGCCCATGGAAAAAACAATTAACATTATCAACTATACATCAGATAAAGGAATAATGTTCAGCATATATAATGAACTCAATAAAAACTCAACAAAAAACAAAACAAACAATCTGATGGGCCGAATGAACAGGCATTTTTTGGGAGGATAAACTACAAATAGCCAATAGCCACGTGAAAAGATGCTCAGGATCACTAGCCATCAGAGAAATGCAAACAAAAGCCACAACACAGTTTTACCTCACCCCAGTTAGAATGGCTCCATCCAAAAATCCCAAAATAATAAATTCTGGGGAGGTTGTGGAGAAAAAGGCACACTAGTACACTGCTGGTGGGAATGTAAACTTGTAGAATCATTATGGAAGACAGTATGGAGAATGCTCAGACATCTGAAAATAGATCTTACATATGATCCAGCCATGCCACTCCTGGAAATTTACTCAAAGGGTATGAAATCATCATATGAAAGAGTTCTCTGTGTCCCCATTTTAATAGCAGCTCAATTCACAATAGTTAAGATATGGAATCAACTCAGATGTCCATCAACTGATGACTGGATAAAGGAAATATACAATGGAATACTATTCACCCATCAAAAAGAATGAAATCCTGTCTTTTGCAGCAAAGTGGATGTCACTGGAAACCAGGATGCTTAGTGAGATAAGCTGATCCCCAGAAGGAAAATATCATATGTGTTCTCTGATTTGTGGTAGCTTATATAGAAAGTACAAAAAAAAAGTATGTGAGTGAAATTGACATCTTGAGATTTGCTTATAGCCCTTGTCTATAGTCCTGAGTAACAGTGATCTTTCCATTTCTATTTGTAAAGATCTTTATTTAGCAGAGGATTAAGCTTGTGATCATAAAGAAAACTGAAAATATGCTATTGCAAAAATTAAAAGAAAAATAGGAAACAGAGGAAGAGGGAAGTTAGGAGGGAGGTAGGAGGGTGGGAATATCGTTATGTTCTTAAAACTATATATACAAAATACATGAAATCTGTTCTCTTTGTATAATTTTTTTAAATCTCTGTGGGTATCAGACTTTGCTGTGTATCACGCATTACTATTTAATCCTCATACTACCCTTGTAAGGTGAACCTTTACCTCTGAAAAAATTAAAGTTTGGAGAGGCATATCCATCTGTTCAAGGTCATTTTGCCGGTATGTAGGATATGAGCCTCAGATGATGTATTTAATCACTAATTCTACTGCCTACTCTGTTCTGAGAACAGAAACACAAAAGAAACCACATGCCTGCCCTCACAGAATTCAGACATGGACAGTCAGAGAAAGCTGGAGCTGAGCCGAGTGGAGGAGCAGGCTTGAAGGCTGACAGGGGAGGTGCATGCCCACTGAAAGTGGACGACGGTGCCTTTGCATCTCCTAATTGTCTGGTTTCTCTGTCCTACTTGTCCAACTCCCAGGCTTGTCGGTCCTGCAGAAAGTCCTGGACACAGCGGCTGAGAAGAACTGGCAGGTGACAGCAGTCAACATTTTGACCACCACAGAGGAGGGCTACCGGATGCTCTTTCAAGACCTGGAGAAGAAAAAGGAGCGGCTGGTGGTGGTGGACTGTGAATCAGAACGCCTCAATGCCATCTTGGGCCAGGTAGTGATGGCACCAAGATCCCTGGTGACTACGGGGGAAGATTCAGGGAAAGCTGGATGAACTTTGGCCTTGGGAGTTCTAAGGAGGGCTATAAAGAGAGTTCTTGATGTAATGAGACTAGATTCTTTCTATATCACATTCTGTAATTCATAAAATTTGATTCTGTAAGTTTATGAAGTAGCATAAATAATGGGACTTCAAAGGATTCTCAGACAGGATGACCAAGATCTCACCGCCAGTTTTTCCCTTTATGGTTGAGTAATGCATGACACTGCATTTTAAGGTTTAAGGAATGCTATTGCATTAGGAACAGGGGTGTCGAGCCAGATTCCTGGGTTTCATTGCAGCCTGTGTCATTCACTGGTGCAGTGCTTGCCATCTCACTTCTTTGGCCCACTAACTTGTTTTAAGAATCCAAGAAAGTAGCAGCTACCTCCCTTTCTACTGTTTTCCTTGAGCACCCACATGTCTATGAGAAGTCAATTGATTGTACATTCTAAAAACAGGCACTGTAACCTCAATAGTTTTTACCCAGTGTTCTCTGAGCTGCAGCTCCTACAGTAGCAGAACAAAAGCATATGCCCACCACAGAATTAGCAAGACTTTGTGCAAATCTCTTGTCTTTCTTAATGCCATTTGTGTATTTCAGGTGAGCTAGCAAGGAGAGAACTTTGCAATCATTTTCTAACAGCACTATATAATAAAAAATGGTAGTTTTAGGTACTTGACAGCATGACAAAGCTTGCTAATGGCCCTCAAGTCCTAGGGTCCCCCCAGGGACTCTCAGCACCAGCTCGGCAACCACTCAGAAGCTTGAGCAACAGAACAAGAGATCTTGAAATTCCTGCAGTCTTTAAGGCATTAACTCTATGTATTCTACTTGAAAATGTGTGGACTTGGCCTCTGCTCTTGGAATGAGAAATCATCAAGAATTGTTTCTACTGAAATGAAGCTTTCTGGGCTGAAGTCAGATTCAAATGAATTCAAGTTTGTAACTCAGGCACGACAGGGCAATGGTTATGGGCAAAGACTTTGGAACCCAGACTGCTGGAATTCAAATCCCAGTTCTAGTACTACTAGCTTTGTGATCTTGGGTCAGGCTTTTAATCTTGCTTTGCGTCAGTTTCCTGAACTGTAATGTGGGCATCAACATCATTATCACCACCATTAGAGAGCTTTCGTGAGGACTTTTAAAAGTCAGTACATGGCAAAGCCTTAGAATAGAATCCCTCTACACCAAGTGATACATGTGTTTCCCATTGTTGCTGTTCTTAGTGCTAACTAGTACAGGCCTCTTAGAGTCATTTCCCTCTTAGAGTCATATTTGGGCATAAGTGTATTCATCTGTAAAATAGAAAAGTGAGTCCTTGTTCAACAAAACTGACAGAAAAAATGAGATGAGCTAGGAGGAGGAGAAAGCGCTGACTGATAATGAGATGCTTGCCTTACATTGTTCTGGGGTACTGCCAATAGCCATTGCTATAATTTTTTGAATGCTTACTGTATAGCAGACAGTGTGCAAAATTCTTACCATGCATAATTCTATTTCATCTTCACATCAACTCAATACAACAGCATATATCAGGTCTCATATTTTACAACTGAAGAAAAGAGGGATTATATTTGTCCAAAATCTCACATATAGCATAATTAAAAAGCCAGAAGTCAAACCCAACTTGATCTGACTACAGGGCTCTGTTAAAAATCTGTTAAAATACTGTTAAAAATACAGCTTTCTGCCTCTACTGTCTGTCAACACCTATTCTGTCAGAGGACAAATTTATATTTTATTAGGAAGTGACTTGTTTGTACAGGTACTTTAGATTGTGATATATTGACATTATTTTTAAGCTGTCTCATTTTTGTATCATGAAAAGTAAGAGCAAAGGGTTGACAGAATCTTACAGATCACTTGACTTACTACTTATGTTAACATTGTATAGAAGAGATGTCTGACAATCAGACTGGCTGAATGATTTGCCTTAAGCTCTGATAACTAGTTAGTGAGAATGATGAGTCTACAGTCTTCATCAGATTTAAAATCTGACACACTGGACATCAACCTATACCATCTAACACTCAGTATCTAGGATCTTTGCAGCCAAATACAAAATGTTCTGCTCAGCCTAAGGAAGGAGACAGTGACACCAAATTCTAAGTAAGGAATTCACTTCTTATCCCTGGGTCCAGCATCCCAAATAGAATGTAAGCTCTCTGATGGCAGGGATTTTTGTAGTGTCTTCTTGCCTGCTTTATCCATAGTACCTTGAATAATACTTGGTACCTACAAAGCAATCAATGAAGACTCTGAGAATGATCTCACACAAGTGGATGTGGACTGGGTTCTGCAGGTGGCCACTGGCTGGATAAGAGTTTTTAAAGAGTTAGGGAAGTTCATGTTGGGAGGCTTAGAGGGTACATGAGTACTGAGATTCATAGTACAGCTTAGCAGGCTGAGTGAAGGATTCTGAGCTCTACTGGAGATGATGGCACAAAGATAAACACATAATCCCGAATATCCTTAGGAATTATTCTAAACAATTTGAGGTTTATTCTAAAAATAGTGGGAAGATGGTGAAGGCTTATGAGCAGACAATATGGCTATTAGAATATAATGCTTTAACAATATGTAAGACACCAAGTTTTATGATAGTTACTAACTATAGAATGAGTTAGAGATAATCATAGACCAGGACATCCTGGGACCAGTCATCACACCACCTCATTTTATTGTCTTTATGATGCTTCTCACCTGCTTTACTCTTGTTTATTATCTGTTTATATATTTACCAACTGGCTCCCAACTAAAATGTCTACAAGCTATGTAAGAGCATACGGAATTTCCCTCGCTTGTCCATAGCTGTCTCCAGCACCTATTCATAGGTTGCTCTCCAGTCTAGGACTATGTTGAATAAATGTGTGTTGAGTGGATTAACTAATCATAGATGATTTTGTGGGGGAAATGAGATTGCAGCTCCATCATAAAGAACATGATTAATTAGAGATAATGAGGGAGGCCATTCGACACAAAGATTGTGAATGAAGGCAACCCAGTGAAATGAGTTTTGAGTAATGGGGTCAATGAGGTGATGGGCCCCCTGTGAAACTGTAAATGACATTCAGAACTCCATTCTCAGTTTGTGCCTTCAGCTATTGGTCTGTTCATTACAGGTATCCTCCCAGGGAAGTGTCATCTCCAGGAGGGTAGGCACTAAGCTCATTCTCTCATGTTGCTAGCAAGGTGCTTCATACATAGTAGAACCTTAATAAATGCTTGTGAAAGGAAGGTGGTAAAGGAGGGGAGGTTGACCAAAGGATAGTTAGGTGACTAGAAGGATACGAAGGTTGGTGTTAGATTAACTATATGAATTACCAATTTTTATCAGTCAAAAATAAGTGGCTGGCTATTTTCTATGCTTCCTTCTGCACTTTCTACCTCTCTACTGCCTGGATATAGTAGGTTTTGATATATCTTTTATTTGCTGTTCTGTGTTTATTAGAAGCTGAATAGGTTTTTGATAAAGGTATCTCATTGTTGAAAGGGCAGCAAATCATTTGACAAGATGATGAAAAAGTAATGAAGAATTATTAATAAAACTATCATCCCAATAGTACTTGAGTTTTGTGGTCTAGAATTTCACAATCTAACCACTGTTTCAGACCATTCATTGTGGGCACTTGCATTTAATTATTCCCCACATTAAAAAAATATGTGAGCTGCTATACACATACATCCAATTAAGTAGATGTCTGAATGTGGAATTTAATAACCTTGAAAATTTATTCAGTTAAAGCAGAAGCCCAACTGCTTCTCATATGTTTTATGTCTCCTTGCAGCAGTACAGGAGGAGAGGCACTGAGCAGGGTATACTAACCCCAATTTGATGATTAAAAAAAAGAAATTGATCAAGTTAATTTGCAGGCTGAGCTAGGGCTAGAACTAAGATCTGCATTCTAAACTGTTCCTTGCTAGATTGTGTGTCTGACTGCCCAAGCAAACCTCAAGTTAGTTCATTCTACAAATATTTTTCCTACCTGCAGTAACTAGGCACAGTCAGTGTTCAGAATAGAAGGGTATTTGGGGATCCTGGTTCTTAATTATTACCATAATCAGGCATCATACAGAAAAGTTCATAATAGTCAGGTCCCTGTCCTTTGTTGCCACCAGATTACTATGCAATCTGGGTAAATCACTTTCCCTCTTTGGGCCTCAACTTCCCATCTGTTGAGTGAGAACCTGAACCAGCTGACCCTTATACTCCCTTCCGGCATTTGAATTGAGTGATCCATCAATAGCTAAGTACTCAACTGGCTGATTGAGGAAAACACAACAATTCAGGGAAAGAAAAAACAGTGCCTGTGAGTGGTCCATGCAAGGAATTGAAGGAGTCATCCACCTGCCTATGTGACCACCCGTCTACACATCCACTCATCCAAGCAGCAGACATTGTGATGACAGTGACACCGAATTCCGACAGCATTAGATCCTCACCAAGGGAAGAATCTCCATAAACAAGGAAAGCCTTGTGGAAGGAGTGCAAGGAGCACTGCAGCTAGGTCTTTGGGGTTATAACAACATCACCCTCCCTGAAAAGCAATCAAAACTGATCTCAAGTCCTGCATCAGCCTCTAAACAGCTGAGTAACTTGAAGAGCTTAATTCACCCCTCCATGACTATTCCTCAACTATAAAATAAAGATAATAGCAATGCCAATTGTATTGGCTGGGTGGAATACTGTAGATTGAATACCAGGGATAGGAGCAGGTCCATTGCAAGCACCCAGTTCATGACAGTTGCTATTATACTGCTGTTATGTAGCTTCCATTATTAGTAAAATTGATGAGTCCTATCCCATTGTGTTTTGTAGATTATAAAGCTGGAGAAGAATGGCATCGGCTATCACTACATCCTTGCAAATCTGGTGAGTGGAGCACTGCAGACTCTCAGCTCAAGCCCTCTCCATGTTTGGGCCCAGGCTTGCTACCCTGGTCCTTGATTGGTGTGAACTGTGGGGGTAGGAGGGGCAACTCAGAGTTTCAACTCTGTCTTGATAATACCAAATTTACCTTTCCCCTCCACAGTCAAATCACAGCATATTGCTCATGAACTTCTTACCTTCCTTGGAAGAGAGCATGTAGTGGGCAGAGCTTCATCAGTCACAACGCCAGCTTTAATCAGCTCTGACCCTTGGCAGTAAAGAAAAAATCACCACATCTTTGAATGGATACAAGATGTCTTGATCCCACTGTTTTGTTCCCTCTGTCATTTTTCAAAGATTTATTTATGTATTTGAAAAGTAGAGAGGGAATAAGGGAGGGGAGAGAGAGAGAGAGAGAGAGAGAAGTATTTACCTGGTGGTTCATTCCCTTAATGGCTGCAACAGCCAGGGTTGGGACACACCAAATTCATGAGTCTAGAATTCCATCTGGGTCTTCTATGTGGGTGGCAGGAACCCAAGTACTTGGGCTATCATCTACTGCTTTCAAGGCACACTAGCAGGAAATTGTATTAGAAGCCCAAAGATTAAAAAAAAAGAAGAAGAAAAGAAAAGAAAAAACCCAGAGTAGCCAGAACTTGAACCCTGCACTCTTACTTGGAATGCAGGGGTCTCAAGTGGCAGCTTAACCCACTGCTCCACAATACTCATTCCCTTGGGCCCTCTATTTTGACCTCATAATCATTTTACTACAAGTAAACAGAACCATGAAAATCATATTATACCAATATTGACAAATCATTAACCAAAAGTAATTTTCCATCATGAACAACATTATGTCAATTTACCTTTAATTCTCTTTTCTATATGCGATAGACAAGTCTGTCTGTTAAAAAAAAAGTTTTTAATGTACTACAGTTCTTTTTATTGGATACCATTGTTTCCATGCCATGAAGACGACTTGATTCATCAAACCACTTTTGTACATACTAAATTTTACTTAGTAGCATCTGCCATTATGAATTTTTTGTCCATTATTTCTGTCAAGTCTATTTTTCCTGAGTCATGTTTTGCACATCTGTCATTTGATATTTCCATCTGCTTTTTTCCAAAATCAAATGTAATTTTATTTTGTGTTCATCTCATGTTTTGAGAGCTTTATTAAGCTGTAACTCACATGTCATAAAACTCACCCAGTTAAGGTATAACATTCAATGGTTTTTACTATATTCACAGAGTTATGAAACCATTATCACAATCCAGTCTTAATGTTAAAATTGTAATCAACCTGAAAAGAATTCCCACGCCCATTAGCACTCATTCCCTATTAACCTGTAAGCTCCCCAAGTTCTAAAGCAACCACCATTACTTTCTATCTCTAAGGACATTTCTGTTCTGGACATTTCAGACAAGTGGACTCATACAATATGTGGTCCACTGTGACTATATTAACTCAGCATATTTGCATGGTTAACCCATGTTGCAGTATGCATTGGCACTTCACTCCTTTTTCTTGCCAAATATATAGTAATATATGATATTCCACATATTTTTTATCCATTCAACAGTTGGTGAACATCTGAATTGCTTTCCTGTTTGGGCTATTATGAGTAATCCTTCTGCAAACCTTAATACCTGAGTTTTTCTCTTGATTACATAAATAGAAGTAGAATTGCTGGGTTATATGGCAAATCTGTGTTTAACACTTAAAGGAAATTCAAAATTGTTTATCCAAGTCATTGCATCTCCCATGAAATTTTAATCAATAACAAGTGTTGCCATACGGCGATTTGAACATTTGTCAGTTTCCTTTAATGGTAGGCCTTTCTACAAAGTTTCATCTTGTTAACTGAATATATAGCCATGTCTGATTTTAGCCATGTTATACGGTGTGCTTTTTTTAATTTCTATGATAAATGTTAATTATTAATTGAACCACAGATTGATGGAGTGAAGATCATTAACACAACTAAGGCACAGTATGCATGGATCTAAAAATGGGACTAAAATATCCTGTCTAGTGCTAAAATTTGATCCCCCTTTCTGATCTGGTCTCCAGACTCAAAGAAAGCCTTGCCTTACCTTTCATTTCCCTTTAACACGTTCTTGCTCTGGCTATCCTAGTATTTCAGGTTCAGGGCTGGAAATAAGGGCTTATTCAGTTAGGTTAATTTAGACTCAACTGTTAATAGCTCAATATGTTACTTTCTCCAGAAGTATTTGTATTGGAAATGACTGGGGGCTATTCAGGGAAATGAAGAGATGGGATTTTTTACTTTTTTCTTTCCTTTGAAGTGAGAAGTACCCTTGATATCCTTTGAGTCCTTGATCCTTGCTGATGGCAGGGACCTTGGAAGTCAACTCCCTTTAAAGTGCAGTTGCTTTTAGGAAACAGATACACAACCAGCAAAGGGGTATGATTCAGCTAGGGTCACACGGTGAATCAGCAATGGAGGCCGAGCACCGTGCTAGCAGGAACATCCCATGCCTTCCAGAGCATCTCTGAGGGAGAGCTTGGGGGCATTCTGCTGCTTGAGAAAAAAACAGAACAAGGGTGTGGGCATGCATAATTACCTCCCTGGGAGAAGACAGAAATTATACATCAGCAGTCTCAGAGCCACAGAAAGACCCCAGGTAATTACACAGCCAGCTCCATCTGTTGCCCAGTGACCCCTCAGTCACAACATCCCAAGTCAGCCCCTTGGGTTGCCTTATCTTCTAATTTGCATTTTTCTTCTTCTGACCTAATGAGCTCTCACATCCTTACAACTGCCAACTAATAGGATGCAAATTGCATATACTATCCAAATACAAAAGAATTGCATGTTCCAATAGATTAGTTGATAATTAGGCTTCACATTACTAATTAATTCAGTTTGAAACATAGTCGAGGATGTGATGTGTTTTCTTCTCCCTTCAGAGGAATAATGCAATTTATAAAATGATAATTTTTGGAAATTCCACCACATAATTAGCCTGGTGCTACATGGAACTGACCCACTCCTTCAGAGTGTCTGTGATTAGGGTGTAATTATAGAGTTAGGGTCCAAGGAAGCTTTTGAAAGGTTTAACAAAAGGAAGAAGCTGCATTTTAGTTTGCAATTCTTTCTGTTCCTGTTGGAAAGCCTGCACTTCAAAGTATCCAACGGCACTCTGCTAGCAGATCACTTTAGAAGGATTTTTTGGGGGTTCAAATAGCCACCAGTTAGGGGTGTCCAGAAAAGAGGAAGGAAGGAGATTCTGAATCAGAGATGGGAGCTTATGGACAGAGTCTAAATAAATAAATAAACAAATAATTTAATAAATAAACAAACAATCCAGCACATGCTTTTTATCTGGATGCCACCTTTGGGTAATTTGTGTTCTCAGGCAGTGCTCCAGCCCTGTTTCCTTATCTGCTAATTGGAAATAATAGCTCCTGATCTGTCCTGCTCCATTCATGTCATTGGAGAAGGCCAAATATGTTGCCAAATGCCACCATCTTTCAAAAAGTTACAATCGGCTCTGCACAGGTGGAAAATTCTTTGTGTTCACACATGATTTGTACAGGTATATATGCAGGCATATGTTTACAAAAGTGCTCAAGTTGTACATATATCTAATCAGAAAGTTGGGTGTCTATGTTTCCATAAAATTGGTTTGCCCACAAAGTCACCTTGAACCATACAAAAACTGAAGCACTCACACATCACTATTTATTTTATCAAATACCTCTATTTATTACATCATACAATTTACCAACTTAAGTGTTTGATATTCTAAGTACGTGCAAATCGTTAGAATTCATTCCCCATTGTTCTCTTGCCCTCTTCAACCCTGGCTATCCTCTTCCCACTACTCTCTTTCCCTGGGCAATCATGTATCTACTTTCTGTCCTTATGTATTTGTTGATTCTGGATGCACATTTTTAATTTTTTTAGAAGATGTGTTTGTTCATTTATTTACTAGTTCAAAAGGCAGAGTGACAGAAAGAAAGAAAGATCTTCCACTAACTGGTTATTCCCCAAAAGGACACAAAGTCAGGTCTAGGTCCAGGCCACGGCCAAAGTCAGGAGCCAGGAACTATACTGGTCTCCCATGTGGGTCGCAGGGGCCCATGTACTTGAGCTACCTTCTGCAGCCTTCCCAGGCACGTTAGCAGGGGGCTGGATCGAAGCAGGGAAGCCAGGACTCCAATCAACACTTCAATGTAAGATGCCAGCTTTGCAAATAGTGGCTTAACCTGCTGTGCCATAATGCCAGCCCCCTAGATGCACATTATTTTTTGATAGGCAGAGTTAGACAGTGAGAGAGAAAGAGACAGAGAGAAAGGTCTTCCTTTTCTGTTGGTTCGCCCCCCAAATGGCCGCTACGGCCTGTACGCTACGCCGATCCAAAGCCAAGAGCCAGGTGCTTCTTCCTGGTCTCCCATGCGGGTGCAGGGCCAAAGCACTTGGGCCATCCTCCACTGCCTTCCTGGGCCACAGCAGAGAGCTGGACTGGAAGAGGAGCAACTGGGACAGAATCCGGCACCCCAGCCAGGACTAGAACCTGGGGTGCTGGCGCCGCAGGTGGAGGATTAGCCTAGTGAGCCATGGCACCGGCCTAGATGCACATTTCTAAAAATACTTTCCTAACTATAATCATATATCTTTTGAGCCTTGCAATAGCCCTTGAAGTTAACAACATCCCTACTTTCCAGACAAAGAAAAGCTAGGAGAGTTTCTAATCCACCAAGATTATTTAGCAATGGAAGTGGAGCCTCCAGGTCCATAGAACCTCAATGTCCATGTTCTTACTACCATGAGCAGTGACTTCTGAGCATGGGAGAGGTGGGAACATAAGTGTGAGTGTCCTTGACAAGATGGCTTGAGTTCAAATCTCACCGACAGTGACAACAAACGATCTGAATTTCAAACTCAGGTGCTCAAACTCCTTTTAGACACCTGTTCTACCAAACAATGATAAAATTACACCACAATGATCATTTTTAGTGTGACAGGAAC